CCAAGATGAGCAGGACCAGAAGGTAGGACCAGGCGGGGGAGGAGACAGCCACGGGGACTGCAGGGACGCGGGGTGCCCGGTGGGGCCAGATCAGCTCAGGGTTGGGTTTCTTCAGCATCTGGCTGAGCTCATTCATTCACCTGCTAAAATGTGAACTCGTGAAGGGCAGTATCTCTAGCTGGCTTTGTTAGCTGCTCGGCCTGCACCACCCAGAGCAGCGCTCGGCCCGTTTGGGAGACCGAAGTGCTTATAGCTTAAAGGGGTAACACTGTGTCGCCTCCTTTGCTTGGGATCCTCTCCCCCGAAGCTGGGTGCCTGTGAAGAGGGGCTGGAAAGGCCATCGGAGGCGGCCCAGGGACGGGCCCAGGCAGCTGGCCAGCTGCTCCGCAGGCTCAGGGCCGGATGAGTCAGGCACTCGGCCTTCAGCACTCAGCCCAAGAGGCTGTGACGCGGCCCGCCGGCCCCTCTGGGCAGCAGCTCGCAGCAGAAACACGCAAACAGACGCACACGGGAGCCTGGGGCTGAAGCCTGAGGGCCGGAAGGAGAGCAGGAGGCTTATGTAAGAGACGAGGGAGGGGGTCTGAGGCCGGCTGTCTCCGGCCACTACGCCCGGGCAGGCTTTCTTCCTGCCACTCCAGAGGGTGTGATGAAAAGGAGGGGGAAAAAAACCTGTGGCTGGAAAAGCTTCATTCACTGAGCTTGAGAGACAAATGCTCTTTTATCTCAAGCCCCCCTCCACCAGGGCTTCCCAGGTGAAAGAACCTGCCTGCCAATACAGGAGAGGTAAGAGATGTGGGTTCGATTCCTGGGAAGATCTCCTGGAGGAGGAAATAGCAACCCACTCCAGTATGCTTGCCTGGAGAATCCCATGGACAGAGGAGCCTGGTGGGCTACAGTCCATGGGGTCACAAAGAGTTGGACTGAAGCGACGGCAGGCACGCCCCTCCCCTAGGCACTAAAAGGGATCTCCCACTGCACCCAGCTGGGCTGATGGGCCTTAAAGCCACCGAGTCTCCTTGGAGACGCCCTTTGCAGGGGCTGATTCCATCCTGGTGTTTCTGTGCAGCCCTGTTTGCCAGCCCCCGCCCCCGCGGGTGTTTGGGGTCTGGCGATGTGGGCCCTAACACAGCCCCCTCTCAGCTTTGTTCCTCTTGCTTCTCCCCCCATTCCCACTTCTGTGCTCAGAAAGGGCTTCCCCTTGGCAATCAACTGTCCAGAGCCAGGAGAGCAGCCGTTAAGACTGCCTCCCAACAGCAGTTGGAAACTGGAAACTACCCGACTTGGCCCAGCAAGATTCCTCTGAGCCAGGCAAGGGGGCTCACTGAACCCCAGCCTCCCTCCTAAGCCCCACTAGGCTGCTCATTTATCCCCCTCCACCTGCGTGCACCAGGGGGCATGAAGGAGGCGGGGTTCGCATAGGACTCTGGGGCCAGCTGCAGGGGTCACAATCGTGGCTCTGTGAGATCTCCTGTGAGATCCTGGGAGATCCCCCTGCCCCAGGGAACCTCCGGGAGTGCTCCAAGTTCTGCGGGCCTCACTGTCCTCATCTGTAAATTGGGCATAGTCACAGTACCTACCGCGAAGGCCTGTTGTGAGCCGAGCCCTCCAAGCAGCTCCTGACAGAACAGCTCCTGGCACCAGGCGCTGCTTGATAAATGTTTATAATTATTATCACCCCTGTCCTAATCCATCTACCTGACCCTCCAGGGCCCAACTGGTCATCTCAGGGGAGAATTCTTTTTCTTCTCCAAACTCCCACAGAACATTTCATCTGAATCACACGCTATAAAACTTATTTCACAATGTATTGTCAATAGGTTCTGCTCGGGTTACTCATCCACACAGTTCTCTCTGCCTCCTGGGGAGATGGTGAGCACCCAGCTCAGCGAAAGGCCTCTCGTGGGTGTCGGTTACATCTAAGGCATGTCCGCAGTCTCTGTGAACTTAGACCTTCTATGCGTGGGTCACAGGAGCGTGTCCCGATTTCCTACAGATTGATTTTAAAACTCTCCTTTAGGTTTTTCATATTTGAGTTCAATAACCAAGACAGATTTTTCAGGCGTCTATGATGAAAGAGCTTCATCAACCTGTCTGCCCCGTTTGAGGCACAGACTTGGAGTGATGCCTCCCTCCCCCGAGTCTCCATCGCAGGCCATCACTCCTTCAGTGGTTTTCACGGCAGCCATCACCTCTGGCACCTCCTCACAGCATCACCCTCGTCTGCTCTTTCTTGCCTTTGTTGTTGTTGATTAGGTGCTCAGTCGTGTCCAACTCTTTGTGACCCTGTGGACTGTAGCTCACCAAGCTCCTCTGTCCGTGGGATTTCCGAGGCAAGAATACTGGAGTGGGTTGCCATTTCCTTCCCTTGCTTTTTTCTTAATTTCAAATTTTTTTTTCTTTTTTTTTTTTTAGTTTTTTTTTTCCATTTATTTTTATTAGTAATTTCAAATTTTTAAAAGACTGAAGTGTACTCTTGATGGGAATGCAAATTGATAAAACCACTGGAGAATAGTATGGAGATTCCTTTAAAAACTAGGAATAAAACTACTATGCTACCCAGCAATCTCACTACTGGGAGTATACCCTGAGGAAATCATAACTGAAAAAGACACATGTATCCAAATGCTCACTGCAGCACTATTTACAATAGTGAGGACATGGAAGTAACCTAGATGTCCAGCAACAGATGAATGGAGAAGGAAGTGGTGGTGTATAAACACAATGGAATACCACTCAGCTATAAAAAGGAATGCATCTGAGTCAGTTCTAATGAGGTGGATGAACCCAGAGGCTATTATACAGAGTAAAGTAAGTCAGAAAGAGAAAGATAAATATTATATATTACCGCATGTATGTGGAATCTAAAAAGATGGTACCAATGATTCTACATGCAAGGCAGCAGAGGAGACACAGACACAAAGAACAGACTTTTGGACCCCGTGGCGGAAGGAGAGGGTGGGCTGATGTGAGAGAATAGCACTGAAACATATACCCTGCAGAGCCAAAAATAATTAATTTTAAAATAATTTTAAATATTCATATTTATTTATTTATTTGGTTGTGCTGGGTCTTTGTTGCGGCAAGAGGAATCTTTACTTGCAGCATGCAAACTCTTAGCTGTGGCATGTGGGAACTAGTTACCTGGCCAGTAATGGAACCTGGGCTCCCTGCATTGGGAGCTTGGAATCTTAGTACTGGACCACCAGGGAAGATTCTAAAAAAAAAAAAAAAACTTTTTTTAAAAAGAATCCACAGTCCAGGAATACTCAGCTGGTAGTCTCCCAGAAAAGGCATCACTCCCAGGATGCTATTCCAAGAATTTCTATTACCCCCATCTCAAATCTCCTGCCTGCAATGTAGGAGGCCTGGGTTTGATCCCTGGGTCAGGAAGATCCTCTGGAGAAGGAAATGGCAACCCACTCCAGTACTCTTGCCTGGAGAATCTCTATGGACAGAGGAGCCTGGTGGGCTACAGTCCATGTGGTCACAAAGAGTCGGAGTTCCTGCTCTGAGCCATACCCAGAGGTTGGTTTAGAGCGATTTGTGGACCAAGATCCTGACTAGAAGGCACAGAACCTGGGAAATACGAAAAGTCGATGGGAATTCAGTACAGGTTGTATGAACAATTTCAGATCTGCTTTGCTAAAAAAGTATTTGATTAATAATCATCATAAGCAGAGTCTGGTATGAGCTGTACTTTGATTATTTCCCGACGGTGACATTACAGGGGAACGGCTAACCCCCACCTACCTCAAATTTCTCAGCAGCTGCTGCCATCTACCAAAAACCCCCTAAGAATTGAGCATATCCAAAATGGCTTAGGTCAAGTTTATAAAATGTCTTATTTAAAATTTTTAGCATCCTCCAATGTTCTGTATCTCTATCCTTGCTTTATTTTTCTCCATGGCCTATCAATATGTAACACATTATACAAATTACTTCTGTGTTTTTATTGTCTTTCTCTGTACATGATGTAAGTTCCATGAGATCAGGTTTTTTTATCCTTGTCTGTTTTGTTCACTACCATAGCTCAGGGCAAGCAACAGTGTCTGGTATAATAATAATGCCTGGGTATCTGTTAAATGAATGAATAAAAGAAGATAGGGGCCAGCTTTACAGAACAGACAAAATGTTAAAGGAGCTAGAGAGACAAGAAGGTTACTTTGGGCTGAAAAATTAAGAAAACTCTGACTAGGTCTTGTCAAGAAACAAAGACAAAGTGGCCTAAATGTACAGAATGTATTGTTTGCGAGGCAAAGAGAGCCACATCCTTGAAGGAAGCTCAGTGAGCCTCCCCGAACTGAAAGTGAAAGGGACAGACATCATGCAGAAGTTCTGTCCAAATTTCCAATTGATTAATAAGTGAAGTTCAAAGTCTCTCTTGAGAGCGTTATGACTCTGGTTTTGCATCATTCAGGCATGGGGCAATTCTCAAACAGACCGGGGGTAGCTTGCATAAGTCTCTGGTGAGAGTGGGCTGGGGATCACATGGATGGCAGGTTCGGATGTGCGTGCTCAAAGCTCAGAGGCGGGATCTTTCTTAAACTGTCTCAAGAGTCCCAGGAGAAGGGCGTTGGGGGCACAGAGAACAGGGTGAGCCCAGTCACTTGGGAAAGAAAATACAGAGCATATCCAGGAATGACTTGGGGCAAAGGGTGATTCCAGACGAAGGGTGGACATTGGGAAAGGAGGTGGAGAGTCCACTGCAGCCTCCATGAAGGGGCCAGAATCACAAACATTTGTAATCAGGATATATGATCAGAGCAGCCACATGCGTAGGTTCATGGAAGCAAGAAGAGACAGGGCCAGGGGCCTGGGATGGGGCGGGTGGACAAGTAAGGAGGCCGGGGCAGTAACCCAGGTGGGAGGTCATCCAAGTCAAAAGATCCAGAGACATTGAGCCAACTGAGCCAGCTGCCAGGGGAGTGCTCTGAGAAGAGAGTGGGAGAAGTAGAGATGGCTCTGGGAGGGCCCGCAGGGGGTCCACAGCCCACTGCTGCATGTGCCTCCCACGTGGACGCTCCCACACACCCCGGGGCTCCTGGGCTCAGCCAGGAGGCACGCTTGACACCCACAGTGGCAGCCAGCGGCCTGGAGGGATTAACCCCGGTTGGTTTCCAACCTCTGGTTGGAGGGCAGAAAATGTAAATCCTCGTGGTCAGCGGGGCAGCTGGCGCCAAGATGCCAAGGGGGTCACTCACGGGGTGCAGGGCCTTTCTGTTCAATTAGATAGAGCACACCCACCCCCATCTAGGAAGTGGGGCTTCAACAGGCAGCATCTAGCCCCAGGTGGGAAAGGCCTGACTGCCAGACCCAGGCAGCAGGAGTCCACGCCTGGGACAGACATGAAGCCCAGACCAGGAAATCGTGGGGAAAGGCCAGGCCTGGGCAACACAGCCAGCCCCCAGACTGCCAGCCGGTGGGAAACGGGCTCCCAGCTAGACTTGGGGGAGGAACTTCGGGGCTGAGCGGCATCTGTGTCGTCTTCGTGGATAAGCCGGGGAGCCCGGGGAGCCCTGTGCCCATCCAATTTCTCCTCCCCCACCCCCAGGAGAGCTGAAGGAAGACACTGGGGCTAGGGCGCTGACTTAAGCTCTTGTCTGTTCTCTGTTGCTCTGGGAAGAAAGGGGTGCCTCCGAGCACACAATACCTGCAGAACCCTAACTCAGCCCCATCTCTCTCCAAGCACAGCAGACCTGCTTCCCTGTGACCTCTCTCCACTCTACACCATCTGGAGAGATGCAAGCCAGCCACGAAGGGCAGGAAAAGGCAACAGGGAGACGGGAGAGGACGGGGCCACCAGCGGGCCAGCCTGTCCCCGTGCGAAGCCTTAGTGGGGCTGGCCTCCCCCTCTCTCGTCATTTCTCTGCCAGAGGCTGCTGTGCCCCTCGCCCAGAGCCCCCTGCCTCAGTGGAGCCCGCTGGTCAGCGCGGGAGGGGTGGATATGGGGGTGGCTCTCGGAAGGGGCTGATGCCAGCTGCCCTGTGACACTCTTGATTGAGAAACTTCTTCCCTAAATTCAGGGCCATCCTCCACGCACTGCTTTCTCTCCCAGGGAGTCTGGTCCCTTCCCTGCCTCCTCTCTCTCCCCCAGTGCCCTGAGTGACAGGTCACCTTCCCCAGCCTGGGAAATTGCTAATCACTGGCCACTGACAACTGGTAAGAGTGACTTTTGCCTTGGCCCTGATCCAAGCCTGGAGCCTTCTGATTTCAGTCTGTGGCCCCTCTGGAGTCTAAACCCCGCCCCCTGCCTATTTAGGAACAACTGGCCTTGGAGGTGAGGCTCCCTAGGCTCTGCCCACCCCCAAGCCAGACCAGGAGCCACAGCAGGTTCAGCTGAGCCTGGGGGACCCAGGAAGAGACAAGGCCCTGGGAGATAGATTTCCTTTCATGGAGGTTCTGAGGTGGGCATAGTGATGGGCCTGGCTGGCACCTGCTGACATATTACAAATAAATGCATCTGTCTTCTCTCTGGATGGCATGTCCTTGGGGACCTAGAGAAGGGAATAGAGTCAAGAGGAAAGAAAGGTAGAGGATCTGGGTACAGAGATCAGTACCAAGCCAGGCATGTATGTATTTTGCCCCCATTTCCCAGGAGAGGAAACCTGAGCTCAGAGATATCAAGTAACCGACCTAAGGTGACACAGCTAGAAAGGATCCAACTGGGGTCCAAGTCTGATTCCAGAACCTACAGGAAGCTACCTCCTGGGGAGACAGGGTCAGGAAGAATACGGTGAAGGGATCAGATCTACTCCTGGGAAAAGTTCACAGCAGTTTTGTTACATCACCAGAATTAATAAGTTAACGTCCTAACTCCCAGGACCTCAGAATGCGATATAGTTGGAGGCGAGGGCTTTAATAAGGTAATTAAGTTAAAATTAGGACCTTAGAGTGGGTCTTAATCAAATATGACTGGTACCCCTATAAGAAGAGGCCACGAGGACAGAGACTCACAGAGGAAAGGCCATGTGAGGACACAGTGAGAAGACCATCCATCCATCCACCTAGGAGAGAGGCCTCAGAAGAAACCACCCCTGATCTCGACTTCTGGCCTCCAGAACTGTGTAGAAATAAATATCTGCAATGTAAGCTGTTCAGTCTGTGGTCCTTCATCACAGCAGCCGTAGTGAACGAGCCCCCGGTTCAGAGTATTTGTTTCCTGGCCTCCATGAGGGGTATTTTATATTGTGTTCTCTTCAGAGCGGAGTCCCACCCATCCAGGGGGCAGGCAGGAGGTTAGGGAATCGTCCACAGGCACCCGAGCTAATGGGGTACCTTGGCTACAAACCCAGCATACACAGTCAGTGCCTCTATCAACCACCTTTCCATTTTAATTATCCTGGCAGCGCCCACCTCTGCCTCCTCTCAGAACAGGACCTGAAGGAGCACAGGAGGGAGGCAGGTACACAGACACAAGGGAACCCCGAGGTGTTGACTGGGGTGCGCCCGGCACCGGAGCCATGCCAACGTGACCAACTACTTTCCTCTGCCGAGATGCTGACTCCTGGGGAGGGGGCGACCCTCCCCCGCCCCGCTCTCGCCTGTCAATCACCACCCAGTGAGGGCTGCTGACCTTCTAAAGTGAAAACCAACTAAACATGCGTCGGCGAGTCAGAAAACGCACACTGTGGGTGGAAGAAAAACTGGTCTCTGAATTTTGTGAGCATTTAATTTGAATACATCCTGTCACGAGTGTATAAGAGTTAACAGCAACAAAGAGTAGGAAGGAGAAAACCCCCTTTGCATTGCAAGGGGTGGGGAAGGGATAAGGGGATTTTGCAAAAATGAGGGGGAAGTTGGAAATGGGTGCTTCAAGATGAAAGAAAATAAATGTTATACACACACATGTGTATATGTACACATGCCTATGCATACATACATATATGTATGTGTATATGTATATATATGCACACACACACACACGTCACCTCTGCTGTGCAAGGTCATGGGGAATTTAATACAGGAAAAGACCTTTGCCAGGGTTGCCCTACAGAGAAAGTTCAAGCAAAACATTTTCCTTAATTCTTCAGTCACCTGGAGACAAGGCACAGAAACAGGAGTCCTCATAAGATAAAAAAAGAATCTATATTTTCAGCTTTCTTCAATTTGATACACTCCAGACTTGATAAGTTCCAAGTGGAAAACTTGATCACGTTTAGATAACTATTTAGATATTATATAATATTTAGATATTTCCCAACCCATAGATGGAAGCTACTGCAAGAAGCACACAGTCTAATCCCTTGCCTTTCCCTTTAAATCACCAACAAATACCCCAGAGAAAAGTCCACTTTAAAACTGTCTCTGCTGACACTTGTGTACAGTATTCAATGACAGGCTTTGCTGATTTCCGTTTTCATTCACATGTATAAAGAAGAAGGGAAAACCTCTGACTGACCTAATATTCTAGAAGAGAATATGTTCTGACCACACTTTATTACAAGCCTGAAAATTATCCCTTCTGAAAGGAAAGAATACACACGTGGTGTTTATGCCTGAGGCCAGGAAGTGCGTACGTACCCTCCAGTGCGGGTTCAGCTCTGAACAACCATCCACACACATAAGCACATTTCAGTGTGACTGGGTTTGCGAGCCCCCGGTGAGCGGAAGCAGTCTGTCGGGTCAGAAGTTGCTGCAGAGAACGCGAGAAGATTAAATCTGCCTTTTTGGGGGAAGATTGGAAAGGCCCTCGGGCTGTTGGTGGTGCTGAGGGGGCCGGCGCCAAGCTGGTTGGGTGGACTAACCAAGAAGCTGAGGCTCCCTGTCCAGGGGAGTGAGCTGGTGGCCCTGGGTACCCACCCACCCCCACCTCCACCCCCCACTCCCCACGCAGCAAACATCTGAACTACATAAAAGGAGCAGGAAGTGGAGGTCAGAGAAGGCAGCCACAGGGATGGTGTGGAGAGCAGGTGAATCCTACAGTGTTTGAAAGAATGTAAACAGCATGAACGGTGCAGAGAGGCTGGTGGGAGTGCAGGACAGAGGCGTGGAGGACTCAGGGCTGTTTTCTGAGCACAGTCCTAGCAATCAATAAATTAATACATCTCTGATCCAGGTATTCTGCGCTCAGGTTTGGCCTGAGGACTGTAGAAGTTTGGTCAAGGTCCATGATCAGATCAGAACCGTGTTGCTTGGCAGGGGTTGTAATGCAAATCGGCTGCAATACCTAAGATGACTCAATTCTGCTACAGAAAATGAGGAAAACTAAGTAGAGAAGTGTGCTGCAGACTGAAGGTTTGTGTCCTCTCAAAATTCATGTGTTGGAGCCCTAACCCCCAAGGTGATGGTATTAGATGTGGGGTCTTCAGGTGGTGATTAGCTCTTGAGGGCGAAGCCCTCAGGAATGGGGTTCATGCTCTTATAAAAGGGACCCCAGGGAACTTCCTCATCCTTTCTGCCATGTGAGGTCACAATGAGAAGATAAAACCAGATGGCAGACCTGCTGAAATCTTGGTCTTAGACTTTCCAGCCTCCAGAACTGGGAGGAACAAATGTTTGTTGTTTAAGCCGCTCAGTCTCTGGAAATTTGTTATAACAGCCAGAATAAACTAAGACATAACTTAAGAGACAGGTGAGCTATGGAAAAGTAAATAGAGCATATGAGTATCCAACAGATAAAAAAAGGTGAACCTCAAAGAGTTAAACCAAGAATTACTATATGATCTAGCAATTCCACTTGCAGATGTAAACCTGAGAGGTTTGAAAGGCAGGACTTAGCAGATACTGTACACCAATATGCAAAGCATTATTCACAATAGCTAGAAATAACCCAGATGTTCATCAACAGATGAATGGATAAAGAAAACGTGGTCTATACATACAATGAAATACTATTCAGTCTTAAAAAAGAAAGGAAATCCTGATACATGGTACAATATAGACAACTCTTGAAAGCATAATGCTGAGATAGATAAATCAGACACAAAAGGATAAATATTAGGACTTCCCTGGTGGTCCAGTGGCTAAGACTCGGAGCTCCCATTGCAAGGGGTCCAGGTTTGATCCCTGGTCTAGAAAGTAGATCCCACATGCCACAGCTAAGAGTTTGGATGCCACAACTAAGAACGGGCACAGCCAAATAAATAAATATTAAAAAATCAAAACAATGTTGCCTCATAGACATCTCTTAGCTGCTTTTTAAAAAGTTCTTTAAGAAAAAGGAGTAAGATTTGTTGAATAACATTCCCAATAATTAGTCTACATGTTAGTAACATTCCCATTGAAAAGATGAGGAAAGGGGAAATCAGGACTTACCTAAAGTTCCCCAGCCGCTAAACGGCTGAGCTAACAACCCACATTTGCCTGGCTCCAAAGCCTGGGTTTGTTCTCATTGCACCAAATGAAATCTAGGGCTAGAGAGGATACAGCTCAGACTCAAGGCAGGGGCAGCAGGATGGGCCTTGCTAAAGGGGCCTGGGTCACCTAGAAGAGAGGACAGGACTGTATGACCCAGAGGACTCAGGACACT